TTGGGCCAGATCAATGTAAGTCCAACAGTCTGTTGCTTTTATTTCTGTATAGTCTTTAATAGCTAGAGATAAATAGAGTATCTGGCTCTTTAGCTGCTTAATTCCCTTCCATTTCCGCTATTTGTAATAATCTGTTTTCCATTTGTTGATGGGCAGATTGTGTACTCCAGGTTTTAAGAGCTTTTTAAAAAACAAGCTGCTGCTGTGGCCAACAATTACGCTCTGAAATACAGAAAATACACAAACATACTGTAGGTTTTTGATGCTTATGAATGACTTTAATAAGCTCATGTTGAATGCCAAACAGATAATCAAAATGTTCTTCTCAGCCTGCAGACTCTCACCTTCACACCACTATTTCTGTAACCAGGTTGACTTCAAGAAACTTCTGCTGAGCTGAGCTATTGTTCGATCTCCGGGATTAAACATAGTAGTAGTAGTAGACTGTTGGTTCCATTTACTGAGGCCAACTAATCAGAATTAGACTTCAATCAATTAAATAACTTTGCGATTTAGCATCGATATGTCGCAGCAGTTCAAATAAGTACTGTGCAGTTCTGAGTATAACTGCTGTGGAGTAGGCCTGCTGTAGCCTGAGATGGCCCGTGTGTTTTCCTGTGTGGAGATGGTGCAGTAAATGTTGAGGGATTAGTCGAAGCTGAAGGGTCACAACACTAAGCTCATTATGGCGGGAGGAGAAGGAGGGATCTGACCATTCCTGAACGAACTAGCAGACAACCTCGGCCCTGGGGAAAACCCTCTCACACACACACACACACACACACACACACACACACACACACACACACACACACACACACACACACACACACACACACACACACACACACACACACACACACACACGCTAATGCAAATACGGGTTCTGCCACTGTTTTTACTCTATATTCTGAAACAAATGCATTTGCTCTCTTCTTTTCTGGAGGGATTTTAAACTCTAAAAGAATGATAAATGAATACAATAATTGAATACATGCACAATAGACATCTTTTCATATTTCTTGGGTCCTCACACAGTGTTTCGGATGTGATAAACCCTATGAAGCTCCCACAGTAACTGGACTCCATGTCCCCATAAAGCTCTAATTATAGAAAAAGCCGGGGCCCCTGGGAGAGGCTCTTTAACTTATGGAGAATAGACACTTAGTGTACAGTTCATAGGTTGTGTGTGTTGTTAAATATCATCAAAGCCATATGGACCAAGAGGTTTGTTTGATAATAAGTTTAAAACAGGAACAAGTGGATTCATAATTCTGCTGGTTGATTTTGCCCCCGCTTTAAGAAAATGTAATATTTAAAGACGGACATATTGCAGTGCATGTGAGGTCATGGATAGAACTGCAATTCCTCCAAAACAAAACAGTAAAACTCCAAGCGAACCTATAAAGAAAATGTGCCTTTCTGTCTTTCCTTCATCTGTCTGTCTGCTCTCAGTGAACACACACAGAGGCTAACACTCTCTCATATACACAAACACACACGCACTATACACAAGCTGCGTACAAACCACAATGACACATCCCAGTGAGTGTTTCAGCTTTTCTTGTGACAATAATAAAATCAAGGGCCAGGAAAAAAGGAGAATGACCAGCAAGACACGTTGACAGGCAAATCCTCACTTCGAAAACCTCCCATCTTTTCTCAGATTTGACTAATCTCTCTCTTAGACCCGAAGATGGCACCTTCTTTACAGGGCTCAGCAATCATGCAAATCATGCAAATCATTTGAGTAGACAACTGGTGAAAAAAGAATGAAACGCATACTTTTTCTGAAGCTGATAATGGAAGTAGCTTAAGAGAGAACCATCTCGCTTCCTTTTCACATGTTAAAGGTTGCACATGTGAAGATAGGGCACTCACAAGAAATGCTGGTAAAGTTGATGAGCTGAAATTAGTATTTAAATTAGCCTGGAAACAGGAGTTTAGTTGTCAGCTAACTCCAGATGTATTTACTTCATAACTTAAATACTTTGTTTTTATTTGATAACTAAAAAAACATTTGTTAAGAGGCAAACAAATGGACTTTAGGCAAGTAAAAAAAAAACTCACACCAAATGATGATGTGTTATCTTCCTAGTTTGTGTTTGGTTTGTTATTTCAGTCTCCCTCTGGAGAAATGCAGAGTTGTTAGGCCAAGCTGTTTGGCCCAGAAGTTGAAGGTGAGAGTCATTTGTTTGAATTATTTCCAGCTTGAAAGCACCATCGCTCCAGACACACAGCGTTAAGACAGCTGGAGCCTTTTGTGCCAATGGGAAATTGGACCATTGATTATTTAGCGTGTCAAACTCTGATGACTCTGGAGCAGAGGGGTAATTATGTTGACAAGACTTTATTAGCCACCATCAAGTGACTACACAGTATCGCCATGGCAAACTTAAAGTTGGCATGGATGTGAGACTGTTTTTCGCTGTGCAAAAAACATCTTTTCATGTCAGCAATTTAAAAGAAATGGTATCAACAAATTAAGACATTTGGTTCAAGAAATTCTGTTAAAGAAGGGGACCTCAACCAATAGGCAGAGTACATGAATTGTCTCTTAAGATATTATAGAGATGGTACATTCTTACATAAAACTATGTGAGTGTGTGGAACCATTTCATATTTCATGTTTACATTTGCTGAACATTAAAGAATTGTTGAATTCCAAAATTGTGTTCACTGAACTTTTGATTTAGTGTGTGTTTACATTGTAGATGGTTGTCCCTGTACAATCTAGCTAATAATAATACCCACCTTGTCACACCTGACTGCATCACCAGCAGCAGGCTACACCATAATGAATCGCTTATCGCTACTGCTGACATGACCCTGATGGGCAGCAGACGTTTTGCTAAAGGTTACTCTGACAGCACCTGATAAAGACCATGAACATTACACGAGACCGACTGAACGTTGACCTTGAAGGGCCGAGTGTTCCTCGAATCACTGAGAGGCCACTTCATTTCCAGGGAATACTAGACAAACGAGAATAAGGAAAATGCAACAATTGTTTGTTTACCCAAATGAGGGGTCGATTATATATTCATTGTTTTTTTTAAGTGGTTCTGTAATCAAAAGGTTAAGGGGAAAAGTGAATTGAACAGGTTTTTCTCTGTGCCACAAAGTGATTATGCTTAAATGACCCCTGTCATATTGATTTTGTTTATATCAGCCGGCTCAGAAAAGGTTACAAATTCCAAAGTTTTATTTCAAATACATGGCAGGAAACATATTTAGTTTGTGTATCTTTGGAAGGGGAGTTCCATGTCACCTCTGCCTCAATTACCCAGAAGCTTTTGGCCTCAATCATACCCTTTCCTTTCCTTTCCTTGCCTTTCCTTTCCTTTCCTTTCTTTTTCAATCCTTTACTTCCTTTTTCTTTCCTGACCTGTCTTGCCATTTCATTTCCTTTCCTTATATTCCCTTTATTAAGTCCACATCTTTCATGCCTACTAGTATCTATACATATTATTCCCTCTATTTTCCTGCTATTATACCTATTTGTGAGAATCACTCGTTTCCTCCCACTGACACTCATCACCAGCTGCCCCTAGGCTCTAATGATGTGGTTCATTTGATTATCTCTGCTGTAGACTACCATGATGTATTTCATGAATGCTGCTGCTGAACTCACAAAAAGCGTCCCGCAGATGGAGAAACAGAAAGGCTGGTAATTTGTAGTCTTTGTGCGTAATGATAATGATGTTGATCTTGTGTTAGCCTCGTCTAGCTTAGCGATGGTTCCCACTTAGCTACAGACAGCAGGCCCTTACCTCTGTAGACTTTTAACCCCTCCCTGATGGAGTGAAGATATATCATCAACATACAATCTCTGGTTTACACACACAGTCTCCCAGCCCCATCTGACACAGACCTGCACACAGTTCATACACACAAATGGACAGTATGGACACAGACTCTGGGTTTAATGCACTTAATATAAAATATGTGTTTCTGTCCGATCATTGTAGTGGTATACTATGTACATGCAAATAATAGTACTATTTGTACAGCAGTACAGCCTCAAAAACGTTATTGCACATTATTTTCAAAAATATGTATTATGTTTCACATGAAAGGTATATTTTTTTAATTGTAAAGCCCCCGTACGTATATATATGGATACACAGATATACACTCGGGACACTAAGGATTCCACAGTAAGACAAAGTGAATTGATGCGTGCCCAACACCAGGCAACTTGAAAGCTTGTATTGAAACTTGTGGTTTTAATTAATGCATTTTCAGATTAAATATCAACAGCAAAATATACCCACACCTTTGCTCCTACTAGAATTATGTTGATTCTAATGGTGTCAGGGTAATACATACTTTATATAGGATAGGGTCGTAGAAATATATATTAAACTCGCTATTTAATGCAATGCTACCATAGGAGATATGAAAGTACACAGACTTTTATGGCCCTGTAGTTTGATAGAAGTCTATTAATGATGTCTTGTGGTCATGTATAGAAATAATAAGGCTAAATATCAGATGTGATGGTGTTAGAGCTCGTTGGTTCTGAGTGCTTTCCATGTCGTGACCTGAATACCTCACCGTTGAAGCCCGGCCAGCAGCTCATTAACATTCCAATACAGCTCTAATCACCACTGCAATGTGTGTGTGTTTGTGCATGTGTGTGTGTTTGTTATAAAGAGAGAAACCATGCAAAGTGTGTGATGAAGTGCCTGCCTCAGGTGATCAGAGCTGAGCGGTGCGATTGGTTCCATCTACCTCCGGCCTTCCTCTGCATATCAAACTATTGCGCAAGTCTTGCACAGCTGAGACTCATTTCACTTCCAAGTTTTATTGACTTAGTCATGACTCATGAGACATATGAGGATTGTGTGAGATGAAAGGTGCACACGGAAAGGAACAATACAAACAGATTATGTAAAAAACACTTGCTTAAAATAATGGGGAAACAGTTTTTTTACATGAGCTTTTTATTCCTGTTTGTTGAAAATGACCACTCCCTTGTCTCTCTCTCCCTCCAGAAAGACTGTATAACTCCAATGGACGTGACTTGAGAAGGGCCCTGTTCTCTCTAAAGCAGATCTTTCAGGTAACACGCATATTTCACATGCAATTACTGTCCGTTTGTTGTTGCAGAATACAGTTAGTTATTGTGGCCACCATGCGCCTCCCTGATGACAGGGATCTCCATCAACGTGGCGTTTCTCTCCCTGTGTGTGTGTATATATGTGGGTGTGTGTAGGCCTTTGTGTGTGGGGTGTATTTGTACTCTGTGTTTGTGTGAATCTTTATTTTAAGATGAGAGGAGTGAGCCACATAAAACACCATGTGCTTTTTCTGGAACACAAAAGATCACAAGAATACCGAACTATAACAAAAATAAATAAATAGCAATGCAAGTGCTTGCTAATGCAGCATTTAAGTACAATTATTACATTTGCAAACACTTAAATTCACCTCCAAAAATGTTCATTTTTTCACGAGACAACAGCATAAAATATCTTGTCAGTTCAATTAAAACATCTATCTCTTCTCTTTGTCGTTCCATTGCTGCAGCTTGGTTAAAACAATTTAAGAAAAGGCAGTTTTCTCCCAGATTCCATGCTTATTGTTTACCCTAGACACATGGCAGTCTAAATTGACAAATTGCTAAACACATGTGGAGTGTATGTATCAGCTGTTCTGGGGAATGAAACATTGATGTACTGTTGTCTTTAGTCCTAGCACTGACACCATGTGGTAACAAAAGAGAATACAACCTGCATTTTCTAAAAATAGATTACAATTGTGAGTTTTAGGAGGGATTTTGTGTGATTCTCAAAGTATAAAACCAGTGTTTACTGTGCTTACTTGTCCGATGCTTTCTTTTCCCCCCTGTTTTACTCCAGGATGACAAAGACCTGGTCCATGAGTTTGTGATGGCCGAAGGTCTGACCTGTCTCATCAAAGTGGGCGCAGAAGCTGATCAGAACTACCAGAACTACATATTGAGAGGTAAAGTTTCCCTGCCTCTTTGATAACTGTAATCTGATACAGTTTTACAAGTATGAATAATGACAGTTATGGTAAAACATATTTAAATGATTGTTGGGTAAAGGCATGAAAAAAAGCAAAGAATACACAAATATAATCAGAAAAACCTGAATGCATCAGCAGATTTTCCATCTTAAAAAATCAACATAAATGTTTACTTGTACTAAACATTAACAAAGGTTTGCAAACCATTTTTTAACAGAATTTGATTTTGAGTGTGGAAGTACAGCTCTTCTCTCTATCTCAGTCTTTCTTTCCCACATCCTTCCTGTCTCTGTCTAACTCTCGCTTAAACATCCTCCTTTGTCTCTTTACTGTCTCTCTTTTTAGAAATACATACAGCATTGTATACAGTTAATTAAAGCTTAAGTGTGTCATATGTCAAATAATAACAAGAATAAACGATTCAAAGTGAAATAATAAAATGTGTGAAACATAAAAATATGGATTACTTACTAAGAGAGGCCTTTGCTTCCTTTTTCACACTTAACCACATTTGTGAACAATCATAATATCACGAGAGCTGATGATTTGATCAAATAAGTTGAAGATAGAAAGCTATAAGAACAACTATAATAATAATAGTAAAAAAAAGAAACTTTTATGATGAGAGAATGAGATATCTACATAACATATCTAGGGAAAAAAACGAGTTATTTCTCCAGTCATTGTTCAATATTTGTTTTAAATTAAATGTCCCTGATCAGAATGCCATATGGTCGAATAGCTCTCTCTACTAGCTGTTTCTCATTACTGGCAGGCAGTCCTTCCATAAAACGAATAACCCAGTATCTAGGTTATTCGCAGATGTGTCTTACAGTAGGTTAGGGTTGATTTGATTTTGCAGGATCGCTTTGTAACTTTTCCCCGTCGTGTCCGATGTGAAGATCTTGGCATAACAATCTCTTACAGTAGCAACACGTACACTATATAGACAAACGTATTGAATTCAGGTGTTTCATTCAGTCCCTTGCCAGTTGGAATGCATGTTTCAATGCCAAAGGGTTTAACGGGAAGTCCAATAATTCAAGATAAAACTTTCATGTTCAAATATGTGGTTGAGGAGGATTGGAGCAAAGTGTCTCTGTTCTTCTCTTGTTCACTGTGTGTGAGCTGAACTCTGTCTTCACAGAAACTTTAGTGCAACATTTGGTGTCCGTGTTTGAACAGGAAACTAGGGTGTGTGCTATTTTAGAAAGTTTTTTTTTTTTAGCACTAAGCTCAAAGCTCATTCAGTGAGATGGGAATACTTTCATAACAATACAAGTGACGGTTTCTGTTTATATATTAATTTAAAATGTTTGTTTCTCATAACGATTCAGGATTTGCATTATTATCCTGGGTTTATTTCATAGTTCAGAGTTTTCCATTTATTACACTTACGAACTTTTCAAATAATTTGCACCAAAGTGGTGTGGTCTGTATCAGCAAATAGTAGAACTGTCCATTTAAAAACTTGTAGGAAATCCCCCAAGATCCCTGAAATAAAAATCTGAACTAAAGAAATTCAACAAAATGTCTCTGAATGTTAGTCAGGTCAGTTCACATATTAATACCTATACATTGACACTTTATATGAACCAAACGCAAGCAAGATCAGATGGTAATGTAACTTTTAATAATAAGACACAGACAATCAGTACTCTATAATAAACAAGGTCAATAATAACTCAATTTCTCTATTACATCTACTGTGTAAAATAGTTATATTTCCAATACAGTTCAAAGCAGCTGACACTTAGAAACATAAATTAATCAGATATTAATTTGATTAAACAACATTTTGCAAAAAGTTTATAATTATTACCGACAGTTGTTAAGGCACCTAAACACTGTTTTAAAATCAGCTTTTCTCCATCGAAGTAGGAACAAATTAAGTAAACATTGAAATTAGGTTTAATTTGTTGTTACTAAGGTAGAGATTTTTGTCCCTGTGGTTGATCAGCTTTGTTCATTGGTTTATTCAATAGGTTAAAATAAAAGTCAAGCAAATGTTAAAATTGTGTTGACAAAATGATAACAGTCAAAGTTACGAAAATAGCCTTGAACAAAGCTTTTGAAAGCCCCTTGAGAACCAGTCAACTAGAAATATTCAACGTCTCTAGTCAAAGATCTTTAGAACTGCAGAAAATAAGGAAAAAACTTTGCCAAGTATACCATAATCTTCGCCATCGTCGTCGTTACCGTCATCTCCGTCGTCGTTACAGTTGTCTCCGTTGTCGCCCTCGTCCTCGTCCTCCATCTCCTGAATCAGAATGCCGTAGGGTCGAATAGCTCTCTCTGCTATCCATTCCTCCTCCCAGGCAGGCGTTCCTTCATCAACAGGAATCAGCCAGTAGTCAGATCTTCGGCATACCTCTCTTCTTTCAGGATTGATTCGATTTTGCAGGATCACTTTGTAGCTTTTCCCCGTCTTCTTTGATTGGAAGGTCTTGGCATACAGCTCATTCTCAGCAACATGTATGTCTGGTGTTGAGTAGATTCCTCTTCCATATAAAGCTCTATCTCCAGCCTTGTAGTGACTGTTGATGATGCCTCTGGCTCCATCTGAGCTCGTCCCATGGTAGGAGACCGGCCACTCTCCAGCTACAGAGTGACTCCTCCATCCGTCTGGGCCCAACCAGGAGTCTCCATCTGGATATTTGCCTCTGACCTTCAACGCCATGCGGTACCAACCATTGGGGCGCTCGTAAGGCTCGTCACCTCTCATGCACACAGCAAAGTCAGAGAGATCAGTGAAGTCGCGGTCATACTGCGGGTCAAAAAAGTATTTCTCATCGATGAACAATTCATTCTCAACCTGTTGTTTCACCAAGATTTGTCGGAGGTGAAAGTCCTCAAGAGACAAAATATTTGCTCTTGTCTTGTTTGTTTTGTTGTCATAGGGTTTAACCACCTGTCCAAGAATGGAAGATAAAACTTCCATTCTCAAATTTGAGTCCAAATACATGGTTGAGCAAAATAAAAGTTCCACTCTTCTTCTCTTGCTCTGTGTTTGTAGGCTCTGTTGGTCCACTGCGCTTGTCACAAAAACTTTTATTTAACAGGTGAGATGTCTCTTTCACTTTCAATGCAAGGGTTGAATGTAATACGATCCAGGCTGTGCTTTGACAGCAACAGCTGGGACAGTCTATGACTCAAAAGCAGCTGAGTTTCCTCTCAAAGAGCACGTTTGTGTGAGTGTATTTATAACCAGTTAACACAGTTAGTGCCTTAACTTTAAACACACTTTTACTTAAAGAAACCACAGAGACCATTGGATTTATCCACCTGTAGGATGCTCGTCAATCAGACAAGTGTTAGTCGGACGTACACTTGTCTCTTACCTTTTCCAATAATATCTTTCAAATGCTGTATTGCAAGGCTTCTTACCTACTAGTATAGGATACTCAGTATTATAATGTAAAGAAACACACCACACTCACTTCTAAATCTATTTATACAAGTATTACTTAGACAACCCTCCTATGAGATACAAAAAAGCCTGAATCACTACTACATATCAAAGTACATTTTTTTGTATTCTACTTTCTGACTAAGCTGCATATCCAGCTTGTGAATTGCCCCAGGCTCTCATTAGTCTTCATTCGTAGACATTTGTTTTGTTTTACCAACTTCCAGAAATCCACTTTAGGTTGTTTCATTTAAAAAGAAGTTTCTACTCTCTACGGTTTCATAGTTGTGAGGCCTCAGCAGCTTCTTTGCACCTCCGGCCGGTATCTGCCCTCTGCTCCTTCTGTCCACATGTAAAAGTGTGTCTTGAATTTGAGGCCAAATGCAAAGTAGAGAAAGATTGAAGCACAGTTGCTCCCTGCTTCTCTCGCTCATATTGAGTATGAATTCAGTCCACCTGCCACAGAAACTAAGATTTAACATATTTTGAAATTAGATCTGAGGATTTCCCTCTTACCTTGACTCATGCTTTCTGTGTAACGCAATCTGCAGTGTGCTTTGACCCACAGCAACAGCTGACATCTAAAACGGGGACTTCAGTGTTGCTTTATTGACTTTCATTCAATTATTTCTCAAATGTGGGAACTGCTGTTGTTTGATGATGAGTGCTACCCACTTCCTCTAGTCACAGTCTTTACTATAGTAAAAGTAGAAATACCACAACATTACATGACTCCATTACAATTAAATGACTTTTTGTCTTTGTTTTACAGAAGTGTTATTAGCTTAATGTACTCAAGTATTAAAATACTTTCTTTTTATCGTATATTCTTCATTAATGTACAAGCAGGTTGAGGTGTAACTTTATGCACTATTGAGTATTCTAGTGTTTCACAATACGACCTAATTCAAAGCTGTTAATGTTTTGTCTGTAAACTCCTTCCTGCAAAGTGTTGGTAGCTAGATGTCAGATGCATTGAGTAAAAATGACAATATATCCTCTCAAATCAGACAAAATAGAATTGTATAGCATATTTGACTAAAACAGAATACATAATTGTATTCATACAAAGTACTTATACTTAATATACCTTGTTGCTTTCCATTTTTGATAATCCTAAACTGTGTATAGCTTCTGAAAACATAAATATTGAGTACTGCGTGGTCTGCTAATTCTTAGTAGGAAAGGTCAAACACATGTCGACTCATGTATATATAAAACAAACGTAATGCTCTTTTCTGCAATGGGAACATCTTTCAGAAACGATACCAACTTAGTCTGAAAACAATTTACTTTCCAAATCTCTTTCATTTTCTTCTCTGAAGCTTATGAGAGGAAAGTCCCTTTCTCCCCCTGATATTAATAGCAACTGTACATAATGCTGTAGGCTCTAATGTTTCCACTCAGTGTGCTTGGTTTGTCATTCTATTTCTGTCACGAGCCTCTAACTTTTAGTTTTGTTTTCTTTCCCTTCTCCTCAGCTTTGGGGCAGATCATGCTGTATGTGGACGGGATGAACGGTGTCATCGCGCACGCTGAGACAATCCAGTGGCTATACACTCTTGTTGGCTCAAAGGTACAGCTGAGCATACACACAATAAATCCCCCCAAAAACCACCACACACTCTGAGCGGCCCATTTATCGTTTTGCAAGCATTATTTTTGTTATTTAAACCCAGAAAAACATACATGCTTTTTCTTATAACATGTCTTTAATTTTATTTGCTTTCAATACAAAGATATGACAGCACATATACGACACATAAACTCCCTATCATTAAACTATTTGTGGAATTACATCTACATCGAGTCATCTAAACTAAAGCACACGTAACATGGACTTCATTGTTAATGTATAGGGTCTAACAAACATGTAAACAACATAATATTCACAAATATAGATTAAGCATTATTTGAACAAATTAAGATGGACCGTTTTATTTGTGTATATAATTTTAATTCTGGCCTAGAAGCCCATAAATAAGAAGGACTTAAAGATGGCTTGTGATGCGAACATAGGAACAAATAACAGATTTTTAACAGGCTGGTCCACATAATGCATACATCTTTTTGTATGTGTGTCGGTTTTTAACTTCCTATTCCCCCCACTCTAGTTCCGTCTGGTGGTGAAAACAACTCTGAAGCTGTTGTTGGTGTTAGTGGAATACTCCGAGTCCAACGCCCCACTGCTGATAGATGCCATCACCTCTGTGGAGACCAAGAGAGGTAAAAATAAAACAACATCGGACCAGCTGCTGATCCATTTACTCTCAGTCATTGTTCTGTGAGCTTATGTCATTTTTTCTGGACAAGATGGACCTACTGTATAGGAAGGGGTGGTTGGTTAGACACAAAGCTATTCATGTTTTTGTTTCTAATGCAAACGTTTCCAGGATGCAAGTCGTGGTCCAATACTATGGAGATCTTGCAAGAGAAGGATGGAGTGGACACGGAGCTGCTGGTGTACGCCATGACCCTCATCAATAAGGTGTCAATGTCTATACTGAATGTTTATGTACTTTTTATCATCATTTTGAACTACTCTATATAACTCTGATATGACCACCGATACTATAAAATATGCTTTTCCTTTGCTATTTCCTTATAAATGAAAAGGTTTGTAGTTGTATTCTTCAGTCATGCACAAAATGTCCAATATCAGTGGTAGTGTTTCAGGGAGTTTTCCCATCATGACAGATATCAAATAAATATAATAAGTGCATTGTTTCTGAAACGGCGACACAAACAACACCGTTTGGCTCTCGTCTCATTACAAGGTGGAGCATTCAATGTGGATTCTAGTAGACTTTAGATTGCAGTTTATTGTGAAAGTTTATCTCTGGACAAAGTCAATTGTTGGCACTGTTACTATTTCTCTTTATTTAGCTTACTCGTCTAAAGTTAAATTAGAAAGATCACCAATTTAATGTCCTTGAAGTTCCTGAAACAAAACATATTGAGCTTTGAACAGAACCGTGACTGGGATAATTTGTACACCCCTTCTGAATATGCAATATTTCAACAAATAGCTGCCAGAAGGTTCCAAAACCTCTGATACAATTCGACTCATCGGTCTCCTTTTCTTCTTGTAGACGCTGGCTGCACTGCCTGATCAGGACTCATTTTACGACATGGTGGATGGTCTTGAGGAACAGGGCATAGACACAGTGTCCCAAAGACATCTGGGCCGGAGAGGAACTGATCTGGATTTGGTTGAGCAGCTCAACATCTATGAGGTTTGTAAAACACTTAGTCAAAAGATAACAGGGAAAATATTGCAAGCTGATATTTGCCTTTCATTAAAGATCAGATACCAGCCAGTGAGTGCTGCTTACGTCCAGTATTTCTAATGAATTTATAGCACATTTGGTTCATCCTAAAGTTCTGAAGCACCCTTTATGACTCCCGCTTCAGATGACCCTACGGCATGAAGACGGGGACGATGACAGCCAGCCTCCACCAATGGGACGCCAGGACCGCCGACGAGTCAGCCTTGGGGGCGGGGACAAAAAGCACGGCCTGGAGAGGAGGCGGAGCCGCAGGGCCTCTCTGGGGCGATCAGGCCACGCCTCCCCCTGCAGCCCCGCGTCCCCACAGAGAGGCCTGCAGTCAGTCTATGGACAGAGAGCCGAGGACATGAGCGAGAGGTGAGATAAGGCTCACAAGTAAAAGTGCAACTTAAAGGTCACCTATTATGCAAAATCCACTTTTTCATGTCTTTTATACATCAACATGTGTCCCCTCTGTGTAAAGAGATTCTGAACGTTTCAGGAAAAAAGATTCTCTCTCTTTTTGTCCTGATCCATTTCAATAAAAACCTGTCTGAAAATGAGCTGATCAGATTTTGGCCACTTTATGATGTCGTCACGATTTTTTGGCTTGTGTAACCATTAGCCAATCACCAACCAAGGTAACCCTCCCCCACCTTATCACCTGAATCTGCTCCTAGAGCACCACTGTGTTTTTTGTAACCAAATCTCTCTCAGAGGGGCGTGGGGAGGGGCTCCTTATTTTCATCTGAAGTAACAGACAGAGAATCAGCACTTTTGAAACAGGGCTGAAACAGAGGGGATTATGGGATGCTGCAATGATCTGTTTGGTGTTTGGAGCCAAACACGTCAGAGACATGTTTTGTATATATCTGAGACCTATAATATATGGATGAAAAACAGTATAATAGGGGACCTTTAAGAAAGTGTCAGTAGGTGTTTGTTTCACAAGGTATAAACAAAGATTGATGCCAAATATTTAGTGATCACCTGTTACCTGAGCCCAAGGATGCAGTTCTGACTGTCTGTACCGAATCATTCTGCTCCAGAGCACTTTCAGGTTTCCTTCAATCCATGTAAGTCCAGATGTCTCTGCAAAAAAGGCCAGCAGCTGTGACCTTATGCTTAATTCCCACTACCGCTGCTCCTCACCTAACAGCTCCCTGGTCACATAAAAAACTCTTGAGTGTTCTTTTAACTCTATTTATTAAACACTTGTTCAGATAAAAGAAAAAGTTATCCCCAGCTGCACTAGCCTTTCGGGGATTGCAATAATACAAGCTTACACGTTATTAAACCAGCACAGGCTTATTTCAGTGCTGTGTGTGCGCACCAAAAAGAGAATGAGGAGCTGGCTGTAGCTGGACTCAGGTAAATCTTTGTTACTCTCTATGTCCTCCCTTCATCTCTTTATCCTGTCAGTGTGTAACGTTACATAAGCAGATTAGGTCCCCTGCTTTAGCTCATATTATTCAATTCAACATCCCAAAGCACAGAACGATACAACAATAACAGAAAAGTCTCTTGCATATTGTTCATTGAATGGGGTGATGGGTGGAAGTTGTTTAAGTTCTGACATTACCGGTATTGGCAGCACCATTCACAACACACACACACACACACACACACACACACACACACGGTTCTGGTCTTGTGGAAGCTGGCAGCACGCGTCGACTCGACTGCAACAACAAACATCTTGTTTCTCCAGATGAGGCTGTTTGGTGACACTGATCCCAAGTCAGTTCTCCAGCGTCACCTTTTTCTCCTCCTGCCCTCCTTCCCCTCTTCCTTTCCATCATATCTTGTGTACTTGTGCATGTTATCTAACTGGAGGCATGGCGTTTGGAATGGGAAACATTCATCCCCTTTCTACCATGTTGTCTTTTGTCTTGATCCTTTCGTTTTTCTACTACTTTATCTCTGTCTGATGTCATGTCTTGTTTTTTGTCTTTCAGCATCATACACATTTGTATAGTTTTAATAATAGACCTGCAACTAATGATTATTTCCATTATTGATTTTGACCATTTTAAAGATTAGATTAATTTATTAGATTAATTGTTTGGGCTCTAAAACTTCTGAAAAGTGTGAAAACATTTTCATCACGGTTTCTCAAAGTCAAAGCTAATGTTTTTAAAAGTCTTGATTCCCAAACTTTCCCAAGCAAAGTGTTCAAAATATGGAAATCAAATGTTTCCATATTTGAGAGGCTGCAACTGAATAATCTTTAATTTGTCTTAATCTCTTAAAAAAAGAGAGAGTGTTGCAGCTCTAATTTTGTGTGCATTTTAATAATTATTTCTCATCTAACCCCTCGATCTCTCTCTTTACCATTTCCTCTGTTCCATCTCTTTATTTCTTAAAAAACATGTTGATTTCCATGTGCCTGCTTCTCTTTTGTATTGCCTCATTTCTCCCTCAACCCTTCCCTTAAATACATCCATTCATCCACCCACCCCCCTGCCTCCACAGAGAGGAGGAATGTGAGGGTGAGATAGAGGATGAGGAAGTGGAGGAAGAAACTCCAGAGACTGAATCTGACTCGGATGAGCCAAAGGGGGCTGATTCAGTGTCTAAACTGAGCACCCTCAGGTATTTTAGGAAATGGTGGTAACATGAGAATAAGTCATATCCAGCGGTTTTGTAATAAACAATATCTAGGAGGTTTATATCACAGTTTTGGGTTGTTTTGATCTCCTGGGGGCCTACAGTATGTATGTTAAAGGGGATAGTTCTAATGTTTGAAGTGGGGTTGTATGAGGAACTTATTCGTTGTCAGTGTATTCATTCATTAGATAGTGGCTGGCACGCCCCCAGTTTGGACAAGACAGGAGTACCAGAACTACAGCTAAGCAATGGAGCAAGAGGAGTAGCAAACATATTTTATTCACCTTTGAAAACAACGTAACCAAAATATCATGATCAGTTAGTGTACTCTTTAATGAGATGTCTTCACCACTTGCTGTCAGACATGCCTGAACCTGAACCTGAAGTAACTGCAGCTGTTTTATCCATCTCAGAATCAGAATACCTTTATTAGTCCCACGGAGGGGACATTTGCGTAGTTACAGCAGGAAAAAGAGCCACAGAGAGCTTAATGTTACATATGTTAAATATGTGACATACTAAGTTATGATATAATAAAAGAATATAATAAAAAGTTACATCATTAAAAAAAATACACATCCTGTAACAGTTCTGAGGATTTAGCAACCAGGTATATATTACACAGTTATTAACGGCGTCTATATATATATTGCACATCTAGCACATATTGCACATAGGTGGTTGGTATTTAACAGCAGCAAGTTACACCATTTACAAAATACAAAATACACACCTTGGAACAGTTCTAAGGATTTAGTAGCCAGGTATATATTACACAGTTATTAACGGCATTTATATATTGCACATATTTCACATAGTTTGTTGGTATTTAGCAGCAAGGGGTGATATAGTCTGTGTTGTGGTGTGTGCTCTTTTCAAAGCCAACAGACTTGTATCTGCATTTATCTTGCAGAACACATAACGGCCCGTCCACACACAGGCATGAAACAAATCTTGAAAAATCTTGATGCTGGGCGTGTCTGAAGCTTGGCGATTTTTTGCGAGCAACGCGACCAACAACCAATCACATGAATCTCCCGCCCCCGACATACAAAGCAATAGCAATGTTAAAACGAAGTAAACTGGATATAAACTCCCCAAACAGGCGAAAACCTACCAGTTTCACCCACTGTCTCTGCCACCTCCCTCCATGCCTGGTTCCTCCGGTTTGTATCCCGGTAAATAGTTCTGGTCGTAAAGAACCGGGTGATTTGCTACCGTAATTTCTCGTTTGGAATATGAGGAAATGAACTGCGGTCTGGCTCTCCCAGCTTGCACGCGGTTTGATTGGCTTGCGCTTGTACTGGCGGGATTTGCATAAACAGGATTTGATTGGCTGATGCCAGCTTCGAAAGCATCGGGAGCATCAAAAGTTGAACATTGCTCAACTTTTAATGCTCACGATGCTTGCAAAACCATGCTCCGCTCCCCACAATGCAGTTCGGCGAAGATTCAAAATCTTCTACGTCACCCCATTCAAGTGAATGGGCGAAGCTTTGAAAGATTTTTTTCATGCCTGTGTGTGGACGGGCCATAAGTCACTAGCGTTCCATTGCCTTGATTCGTTTTTTTTTGTTGTGTTAATATCTGACTTTCGATATTTTGGATTCACAAAAGTACCAAGTCCCAAGCGATAGATGTATTTTCTCCTGTGATGTAACTTCTGTCTGTTTCTCCAAACTGAGAGCCTGCCGACCAAAAATAGAAGGCAAAGTACCTCATGCAATCCCTCTTAAAACATTTCAAACTATCCCTTTAAGTCTCCCAGGGGAACATATGGTATTGCTTCTATTTCATTTGCCAAGTTTCATCAATGTATTCCTCTCGATCCATTCCTCTGTTCCTAGCCCCGCCACACATCTTCCATCTACAGCTCACCGATCCACCGTGCAGTCCATCACCATCACTTCCAGGAAGGAGAGTCTAAGAGAAGAGGAGCAGAGGAATCAAACTGATCCACCCGCTATCCACCCCCCCATTACCCCCACCTTATCTCCTCCCGTGTCCTCCCCTCTCAGCCCCCCCGCCCCACCCTCCCTCCTGGCCTCCCTGCTGGCCAGGAAGAGGCCCATCGTCACTGTCCCGGCCACCAAGGAGGTCAGCCCGCCATCGCGCGGCAGCTCCCGCCCCTCCCCCGAACGCATGCCCTACCTGCCCCACTCACCCTTCCACCTCTTCTCCTACGACCTCGATGAGGAGCCGTCGCCCCCGGCTCCACCCAAACCCAGCGAGGAGTCACCCAAAACAGCAACGTCTCCCAGGTCAGGCGGACAGCAGAACTCAACCTCCCTCGAGTTCAAGAAGCACAGAAAACTGCTTTTTCATTTCTCACTTGTGCTTCTAGCTTTTATCCTTGCTCCAGCTTGGTCTCTTGGCACCACGTTTGTTTTTCATCACCTTCCCTTTACACCGGTTCTTTTTCACTTCTTTGACTGCACAGCTTCTCACCTTCAGCCTATCAACACTCTTGTTATCACTTATTGTTTCTTCACATTTCTTTTTCTTAGTTCTGTCAACGCGTTGATTGGCCACACTTGTTTAAAATCCACACTTTGTTTCCCTTTGTCACAGCTTTTCACTCCTTGTCAACCACACCTCTAGTACAGCACCTATATTTCTTTGCTTCGTTGTATGATCATTTTCTGCATTTTCTAAACTTCACTTTTTGTATTCCTGTGTGAGATGTTTAGCCTAAACTTATTTTGCTTGTTATTATTCGATATTCAAATGCTTAGATCTAAAGTCCTGTTTGCTAATCGTGCATTTTTATATTCTGTTATTTTCGTCTTGTTCCAAACACTTAAATAACATAGCTTCAAAAAATATATTCACTTGAGCAAAAGTTATTTTCAGTTTCACAGCGGACTGTAAATGAAGTGAGACACCTTTCTGGAATTGTCCACAAACATAAGCAGATAAACACCACAGCAGTTATAAATACATTCGGATCACTTTAGTGTCGCACACACAGCATTCCTGTTATGTAACACGGGCTTCATTTCTCGCCACCAGCCCTGCACTGGTCAATGATGCACTGGCGGGGTCACTTACTGTCAACTACTTTCTCTTTTCTCCAGGAATGGCGGTCTCTCGTCCTATTCCTCTCTCAGCACTCCAAGTACGCCCACAACCTCCAGGTGAGAGCCTCCACATGAAAGCATGCTTAAAATACACCCACGTGCACTCTAAAGGTAAACATACAACATCTTCACATGTGTTTGCACGACCAAACATAAACACACTCACGTGTAACAAGTGTGGACTGTGTGCAGCCATGTGGTGAATTCATGGCCATGACGTACTGAAGGGAAAGTGATCTCAGCTCTCTGGTCCCCTTTTTACTAAGCAGCTGCTCCTACTTCCTCCATGGAGAATACAATCATTAAAGCATAACTGATGGCGTGTCAAACACATATAGAAGCTCTGTTGATGCAGGAAACATGTGTTGTGTTTTAGACAGATTTAGCTATTTGTATGTTCATATTGTCCCACAATGTTGCAGAAGGATAAACTAGCATTTAAGAACAGATTTTTAGGAAGAATCATTGACATTTCTCGCTCTAGGAAGAAATGTTTAAACTTTGTTTCTGAAGTAGTGTGCTTTATAAACCCAATGTATCACTATTAATCACTGCATCACACTTGTTCAGGCCTGCTTTGGGAGGTCTTCTCTCCTCCTCGCATCGACAACACCAGGAATCTCTGGCGGCCGAGCGAGAGCGCCGTCGGGGGGAGAGAGAGGAGCGGCTGCAGAGGATAGAGAGAGAGGAGAGGAACAAGCACAGGTGAGATGCCACAGGAATCTGGATTATCCAAATAGACTCCAAGTCACACATTTGGATTAGGGGTTCTTAAACTTTGGTAACTTAAAAGCCACTTCTCATTGTTAAAAAAAAACAGAGAACCACAAACAAACTAGAAAAATCATATCATGACAAAAAACACTCAAACAAAAACTGGTCTGTAAATATGTGCCACTGTCAGCTGTGATAAAGGAGTTAAAAATACTGCTTACCCTCACACATCACTGCTTCCAATATGAATACAAATGAATGTATTTAGGGTCATATCATTTTTCCACAAGCTTTGGAGCTTTAACTGGCGAAGTGTTGTCTCCCATTCGAGGGAACGTTAGCTAGCTAACAGCGGCAAAACTTCTTTATCTGAATTCTTTAGCAAAGTGGACAATCCTGCCGTAGGGTATGACTATTGTTCTCTAAATTGTTTTGTTTGTGTGTCTCTCACAGCCGTGACTATGTGGATAAAATGGAAGAGGCCAGGCTTGCGCGGGATGAGAGGTAAGTGTGTGCACTAAGTTAAAACAACACACACTCAACATCTGAACCCACAGGGAATATGTTTCAGCCTGTGGTTTGGGAAGTCCGGTAATAGAGTAATTGTTCTCAGGTTAAAAAGGTTGGGGGGATGCTTAGCCGATTTCTCTTTGCTCTGTTTCTCCTTTCTTAAAGAGCAGCATTTTTAACTAGAGCACTCTGCCAAGGGCTTGTTTGTTTTGGCTTCATTCTGAGAGATTTGTTAAGCTCTTCACACAGAATACACATTCCGACACACACACTCGTTTTACTCAAGCACATGTACTTTTAAAGACACACAAAGAATTTTCATGAGGCTCATTTTTATGTTTCTATGCAAATGGGACTCACGAGAAACAAGACGTTACTCGAGAGGGTAAATGAGGTCACGCTTAGATTCAGGATCACACTAGAATTACCCTTACATTATATAGTGGTTCAGTTTATCCCCCTACCTTCTTAACCTGACAAAATCTGTGTACAGCGCAGTGGCAAAAAGTGTTATGATGGCCTAAATATCAGTCAACAGTCCAAAAATAATTGTTCATGGCGTATATAATAGAGTTTACCGGAAACTGGTTTCCTTAAGCTTCTACAGTAGCAAACGCTTTAGGTTTGTTGAAGCCACTAGACACTGTTTTTGTGTGCTAATTGGTTAGCTGCTGGTTACAAAGTGCTAATTAGCAAATGACACAGAACAGCTACTGTATATTTAAAGTGCAGCTTATAAAACACTCGCCGCAAACGGCTTATCAAAAAGTGATTTATGGAAGTAAATAGCATAACTACAATTGAACTAATTTTATATCTAAGTGTGTTAAGAAATACAGCCAAGTGAAGCACACAGCACACGTGTGTCACTTGCTTTCTGTCACTCGTATTAACACACACAGACACACACATATGTGTATTAGTATCCAGTTTCATCCGACCTGTGAAGTGGCTTGATGCTAATGAGCTCTGAACAGAAGCTCTACACATTCATGATATGGTGGGAAAGAGGAGTGGTTAGAGAGAGGGAGAGGTGGAGAGAGAGAGTTTACAAAGTGCCCGAAATCTGTGTTTGGCTCCCAGGGTGGATGGTAAGATTTAGTAGGGAAGGAAGGAGATGAAGAGAGAGAAAAAGGACAAGGGAGGAGAGCTGATCGAGACACATCTTGAACAGGTTTACTTTGATTCACTTCTGATGGTTGGCCTTTCCGCAGCCTCGCTGACATTAACTTCTCCTTATCTCTTCTATTCTTCTCTGAGGTTGTTCTTCTTTCTTCAACACGCTTACAGTTTCTCTTATTTTTCAAACTCCCTCTGGTCGCACATTAGGACTGCAGGTGATAGGTGAACATTAAGCTAGACAGGATGGTGGATCTCTAGACTGCAAGAAATGAGTGATGAAATGCGTTGTGAGGCGAGGTGTAGGTGTGAGGTTGGTCTTATGTGGTGGCATGAGTGTTTCGAAAAGTAAAAAGGTTGAAAGTTTGTGATGAATTTAAGTAAATGGACAACAAGTGGTAACTAGTTTAGTTTAGGGCATTTTGGCAAATACCAAAATTGAGTTCAGCTCTGCTGAGAAAGGGCAACACAGAAGGTGCATTGTCTCCTCCTGCCTCCTCTGATCCTCCCTCTCCTTCAGGTATAAGAACGTGGAGCGCCAGGCGGCGGAGGAGTACGAGAGAGAGCACGTCCGGGTGTCCAGGACTCGCCCTGACCTCGGCCTGACCTTCGAACCCGCGGAGGCCTGGCCCTCGTCATCGCGCAGCAGCACCCCATCCTCTTTCGCCTCCCATGAGGACGCAGACGCAGACGCTGACCTCGAAGCGGAGACCCCCGCCACCCCCTACACCGCCTCTGAAACTGGTAGGTGAACTGAGAATACTGTATGATGGAGTAGCTCTGAAATAATTTGTGTCTTTGTGGGGTTTTGATTAGATGACAAGATGTTAGACTGACATGTAATCAACTAAACATAGTATTGTGAAATGTAACATTGTCTCCTTGTTTGTTTAAAAGAGGTAATTACAATACTGTTGCTAATTGTATTAGGTTTTGTATTAAAACATACATGAGTAGTCGGTATCACTTCAGCTACTAGACTACAACATGTTCTCCTGCTAGTACCATTACTATTACTTTAAATACTCATGAAAATATATTTTAAAAAGGTTACTGTGAAACAAATCTGGTTTTAATTGCGTAATCGTGGATGAACACGAAATAAAATCAACGTGTTGTTTTTTAGAAGTAATTGAATAAATTATTTCTGTCCGCATGTAAAGTCAGGCAATCTAAATCCAGCGTGAGAGTTAACAATTAAAATGACTATGTAAAGGTGATAACTGAATATCAACGCGTTGAATCGCTCCGGCTGAAAGATGTTTTAGAGATTTCAGAGCATTTGTATGACTTTGAATTCTTCCTAATGTTTGGGGGACTTATAATTCAAACCAGAAGGTCCCCGGTGCAACTCCTAACAGTGCGCCCCAAAGCAATCATGCTTAACCTTTAAATTGTTTCTGCCCTTTAAACAACAATGTTGGCGCGAGCAAAAGAAGGCGAGGCGAGACAGAGTGTGGAAAATACTGAGGGAGAGGAGGGGAAACTGTCAGGGGGTTAGAAAGAAACAAATACACAGAGAGAGGAAATAGGTGAAAGGGTCAGATGGGTTTCTGAAAGGCCTTTTTGAAAGTGTAATGCCAAAACATCTTGTGTAAGAAAAAAAGCCTTGTTTTGGAGCCGAGCGCATGCACAGCCATGAGCTGAGGTACTGTAGCTCACTCAGGTGAGTGTATGAGGCCTCACTGTGTCGTGTTATTCTAAGCCGCCTGCATCACTGCATGGACTGTACTGCAGAGTGACGTGTTTGTGTGTGTTTTCACATAAACAGGAACTTAATTCTTCATTTCCTGTTCATATCCTGGTCCTGCAACAACTTGGCTTTCTGTACCTGCCATATTGTTTACATTAGTGCATAGGGCGGTGTGTTTTTTTCTTATCAGTGCGTGTGAGAGTGTGTTGATATAGGGGCGTCCCATGGGCAGAAATCAAAGACAACCACGTCCCAAACCGTATTTCATTGCATAGATAAATGTGAATTTTAGGGAATTAAGTAACACTGATTGGTTTTGTTGGTGACAGGAGAGGCTGAGGACTCCAGTGCCAGTGTAGAAACAGAGGAAAAAGAGGCCACTGCCGAAGAGGAGGAAGAACAGAAAGAGGAGGAGCTACAGGAGGAAGTACAGGAGGAAGTACAGGAGGAAGTACAGGAGGAAGAACAGGAGAAGGAAGCAGCAGAAGAAAAGGAGGAGGAAAGTGAAGAGTGTGAGCCGGAACCGGAGAAGGACAAAGAGGAGGCGGAGGAGGACAGCGGGATCCTGAGTGACAAAGAGCGACAGAATGAGGAGGTGAATGAGAAGGACAACTGCTCGGCCTCCAGCATCTCCTCCGCCAGCAGCACTCTGGAGAGAGAGGAGAGGGGAGTCAATGACAATGGTGGGTAGATTTGTTTTTGCAATTTGAATCAACATTCGAGTTGCATTCCTTGTAAAGTTCTGATGTGAATCTAATCCTTAACGAGACCTTCATTGTATTTTGTTGTGTACTTCGATTATCCCAAATGTCTCCAAAAAATTTTAGACATCTAGTTTTTGGACCGTTTCATTTGGTTGCCTATAATGGAGTCTTAGTCTGTTTGAACAGCAACTCGTGCAGCTTCCAGAAGCTGCCATAAATGTTTTTTATCTAGATTCAAGCCACAATTCTATAATTAACATTTTAGGATCTTGGTCTTTTCTAACCCTATATTTTAACCATAAGAATGATTTTACTTTTTGGGCACCACTCCCAGATCTCCACAACATGTTGTGCATAAAAAGGCAAGTTCACTCCGATTAGGATGCGTGTTTAAAAGGAAAACAAAAACAAACATTGAAAACACCTGAATCACTTTTCCGACATGCAGCCTAGAGAAGTGTAAATCCAGCTTGAGATATATATGCTGGACCAAAAAAGAAAAAGCACAACGTTTTGTGGAAATTATTGAGAGATAAATACTTGATGTTTTCTAAAGGTCAAGCTCCAAAAACACCAAATGCTACCGTTACCGTAATACATTCAATAGCCTCTTTCAGCAGACCCTCCTGCCTCCTGTATGCCTTCTACCTCTTAAACAACACCTCCAGTTTGAGTTGCAGGCTGGCTGTTCAAAACTTAAGGTTTTTAGTTTAGCCCTAATTAGGTGGTTATAGTTTTATTAATTTAACAAAACACTAAACCAGTACTATTAACAATTAAAGTGTGACGTCTTTCTAATATATTTCTCCTCTCAACACCATCGAACTCCTTCCCAGGCTTGAAGGAGGCAGAGGTGAACGAGCCGTGCGGCAAACTCCTCAACAGCAAGCTGTTCATGCTGGACATGCTGTACTCCCAGAACAAGAAGCCCAGCGATGAGGAAGAGGAGGAAGAAGAAGACGTTGAGAAGGAGAAAGAGAAAGGAGAAGGGGAGGACAAAGAAACTCAGGAGGATGCTGACGTGCAACTGGGCGATAAGCAGGACAGCGAACACAAGGCTGACAAATCAGATCACCACTCCAACATCCGACCGCTGGCCGAGAGATTTGGAAACTTAATCAAGGACCTCAGTTCGATCCCCCCTCACCACGATGTCCCGGCCAATGAGCCCCCTCCTCCCCCACCCAAAAAGGAATCGGACACGATCTGGGACCAGCTCCTGGCCAGCCCTCGAGAGCTGAGGATCGGAGACATCAACTTCACCGACCTGACGGACGAGGATGACAAAGACATTCTGGATGCTGTTTTGATGGGAGGGTGTGGTGACCTGCCGCCCCCTCCGCCTCCCCCGCCCTGCATCCTCCGCTACCCTCCGCCCCCCCCCCCATGCTAGGCTGCTGCCCCCCCACCCCCTCCTTGCTTCGGTGCCACAAATCCAGCGCCTCCTCCCTCGGAGCCGCCGCTCTTCAACAAGAAGAAAAAGACAATCAGGCTCTTCTGGAGCGAGGTGAGTCGAGAAAAGAACACCATTAACATCAGTCAGATCAATATTATCATCCAGTGTTACACATCATCTATACAAAGGAGGATCAGTGGAGACCGAGGGTCACACAAAATGCCCAAAGACTATATTTAGTATGACAGGAAAAATTCCGTTTGTTCTGATCGATCTTAAGTCTTACCATTTTAGATCTAATAAAACAAATGAATTTATCAATAGTCAAAGCCAGGATATTTTAAAAAGAAATTCTATTTAAATCTTCCATATGAGATCATTTTTACGTTACACAATTATTATTATTATGATACTTGTTTTTAGTTCATAGATACCAGCTTTGTGATTGTGATACTTGTAGCTTCTGGGTAAGAGCCAATATGTTGTCTTTAGAAACATGACATACAACTACATTCCTAAAATATAATGAATTGTAAAGAAAAACAATAGCCCCGTGAGCCCAACCACAAAAAATAGTACGCTAAGGAAAACTCTTTAAAAAGGTCAGGCCAATCAGACAGCTATCACTTCCTCTGGGTGCAGGGAGAAATTAAGTCAGAGTGCCGTGTTTGCTTTGTCAGAAATGTTGGACCTGTCTTTTTGGTTGGACAGGAGTTCCCACAGATTAAGAGTACTTATAAGACGGCATGTTTTAGAGCCAGTCAACACGGATGAAATATTTGTTGTTGTTTGTCTCTCCGTACTTCATACAGTGTTTTTTCTGTGATCAGGTGCGCCCCACAGACCCTCAGTACAGGGACTACAAGCGGAGCGGAGATTCGTTCTGGTCCAAACTGGATCCAGTGAAAATGGACACCGCCAAACTGGAACACCTGTTTGAGACGAAATCAAAGGAAATGCCTGTTACAAAGGTAAACAACAAGTGCTAATAGTCTCACTGTTAGATACTGAACGTAAGCCTTGACCAACTATTTATCACATTGGCATCTAACGGAAGTGCTGTTAGTTCTTTCATTCATTTTACAACACACTACGGTTGTCACGATGTTCCAGACGATAATCTTGATATTTGAAAAAGGAAATATTGATCTCATGTTAATAATAAACATCAAAATATCTCCAGCGTACATTGAATGACCGTATAAGTAGTAGTAGTAGTAGTAGTAGTAGTAGTAGTAGTAGTAGTAGTAGTAGTAGTAGTAGTAGCAGCAGTGGTAGCGGTGGTAGTAGTAGTAGTAGTAGTAGCAGCAGTGGTAGTAGTAGTTGTAGTAGTAGCAGCAGTAGTAGCGGTGGTAGTAGTAGCAGCAGTAGTAGCAGCAGTAGTAGCGGTGGTAGTAGTAGCAGCAGTGGTAGCGGTGGTAGTAGTAGTAGTAGTAGTAGCAGCAGTGGTAGTAGTAGCAGCAGTGGTAGCGGTGGTAGTAGTAGTAGTAGTAGTAGCAGCAGTGGTAGCGGTGGTAGTAGTAGTAGTAGTAGTAGCAGCAGTGGTAGTAGTAGTTGTAGTAGTAGCAGCAGTGGTAGTAGTAGCAGCAGTGGTAGTAGTAGCAGCAGTAGTAGCGGTGGTAGTAGTAGTAGTAGTAGTAGCAGCAGTGGTAGTAGTAGCAGCAGTGGTAGTAGTAGTAGTTGTATTTCTATAGATATATCAAGTAAACATTATATGTATTAGAAATATAATATTCATCACACATTGCATAAAATTGAAACTTCATGGTCTTCAGACAATTTTCCTAATGAATGTAATACATGTTTAATTTGTCTGTCAGTCAGTGTTCCCCAAAGCTGATTCTAACATGATAAATCTGACATTTTTGTAATTCTAAAATGTAAAAACTCATCTTTATCAAAAACACTTTGCCAATAACAGCCACAAAGTCAATGGGTTTGAGTCCATTATCTCCAGCACATGAAGGTCGTTGAAAGATTTCACGGTTAATCTAGGTCGCTTGTGTTCTGATCATGATCAAACATGGGAGTTTTGAATCCTTCATAATTCTCCCAAAGCCTCTAAATAAGAAAAGTATGGAGTGCAAAGATGAGGAGCTGGCCTCTCACACTTTGAGCTCCTGAGCTGCTGCTTCAAAGCCACAGCGTCTGTTAGAGCCGTAGCAGTAAGTGGCTCGCCTCCGTCGGCTTCTGGCCTGCACATAATGTGACGGAGTGATGGTGGTCTGCAGCTAGACACTCAAAACAGCTCAAGCAAAGCTGTCTAAATGAGAGAATCCAGGATTTACAGTACCACCAGAAAATCAAAGCCATCAGAGGTCAGAGCCACCTCTTCTGATAGTTCTTTATTATTGCTTTGGCAGACTCTCCTTTGTTCCCTTCTTTAGGTTCTATGGTTTTCTTACCTAACCCATCAGAATGTTAAGTATGTGCTTTAGATATTTTAGATTAGAGATTGCAAGGTTCAAACCAATTTCATGCTGGTTTTCATCTTCGTGATTGGTATAATTGTGTGTATTCTTCAGGTATACATCCATCAGTCTTTACTACAGGGTGTCCGCGGGGTCTTCAAAAGTATTACAAGTTGATAAATCAATTTAACGAAAATTAAGGCTATTAAAGTATTAAACGCCATTTTCCAAGGTATTACATTTTGTAGCTTGTTTTCAATAAGTATATAAATGGTCCAAAGAGGTTGTGTTCTACAGTCTGCCTGAATGTAATCATTGCGTAGGTGTGTAGTGTGATTCTGTGTAGTTTATTTATGGCATCCCGTTGGATTGGACGTCATCTGAACAGGACATCGCACGCTCACTGCTTGATAGCGCGAAGCTCCGTTTACGCCGGTTGTTAAACAACATCGTTATGGGGAAATGCAAGTCTGCGTCCAAATGGTTGGAAGATAAAGAGGAAGGACAATCAATACTGAATATAGTCAATGTGAGGTAAAGTGTGTCGCCAATGTAACCGGTTAAAACTCCAAGTGGCGATGAGGTCTTAAAATGTATGGAAAGGGTCTTTAAAAAAGGTCTTAAAAGGTTTTACATTTGACTTCAGGATTCCTGCATATACCCTGCCATCAGTCTTTGGTAGTTTTCTATATGTGCTCCTTTTTATCTATCTATATACGTATGTATATCCATATTGTTTGGTCTGAAGTAAAAGCTCAGAGCGTGACAAATATGTGAGTGAAAGGTAGGTTGATGAGCTCAGATGAGACGGCTGTTTCCTGACCACAGAAAGCACAAGTCTCATTTAATAATAGCATGTTTTTGCTTTAAAAACTGACGTGTTCAGTACAGAACTTCCCCAACCCCGAATATAGTGCTTCCTCCAAAAACATGGTGTAAAGTGAATACAAGATTTAACCATGCATCTAATAGTTTCTGTGTAACATTATATAGAAATGATGTCTAAATGACGTGAATTAAATTGGTATTTCATTACTTGGTACAAAGACTTCAAAAATGGCAGATCTAACTCCTCAGTGGTAGACAAGAAAATGCATCATAAAAAGTGTGAGGAAGTCTTACACTTAACAGCATAAACAGTAAGATATAACACATTGTGCCAGAGTGATGGTGTAAAGTAAGTCTTCCAGTCTGCATATGGAAAGGATATTATTACCTCGTGGCAGTAACCAGGTCTTAGCAGCTACTCTGTTACACTTTTATGTGCCGACATATTACGACTTCCTTCCATTTATAGCTTATAAAGTGCTGGTGAGGTAATCTGTTCACATTCAGTGACAATATGGCTGCAGACACCCACAAAAACACACACACTGTAAGGTATTTCCTGTTCCTACTCAAAATATAGTTGCCACAGCTGCAGTCAATGTAACCTGAGTGATTATCCCTGTAATCCTTACAAGCCCATAACGCAGACCACACTGACAGAAGAGACAGAGAGAGGCGAGGGAGAGGGAGAGGGAGAGACCCAGCATTGACCCTCTCTGTCTTTTTATGTCCTAGAAAACAGCAGCAGACGGGAAGCGGACTGAGATCATCGTTTTGGATTCCAAGAGGAGTAACGCCATCAACATCGGTCTGACGGTGCTTCCTCCTCCTCGCACCATCAAGACAGCCATCCTTAACTTTGATGAATATGCGCTAAACAAGGAGGGCATTGAGGTGAGAGATACAGACTATTTTTCAAGATTCAAGGCTTTTATTGTCATTCGTACATAGCTACAGTTTAGTTATGTCGATGAAAATCTTAGGTCCCAGGCTCCTCCAACAGTACAACACAATAAAACAGTGCAAGTAAATACAATCAAATAGAATAGAAGTAGTGCCATAAGAGTCTATATACAAGTGATACATCATTTGTAAGTTGCAAACAGGTGAATGTTATGGATGTTCTTAGTTCAGGTGTTTAACAGGAAAATAATCCTATATCTTTTTCACTCGTATCCTGCTGTCCTCTCATATTCTTCTATGTCGTTGCTCTCAGAAAATCCTGACGATGATCCCCACAGAGGAGGAGAAGCAGAAGATCCAGGAGGCCCAGCTGGCCAATCCTGACGTCCCGCTGGGCTCGGCTGAGCAGTTCCTCCTCACTCTGTCCTCCATCAGCGAGCTCTCCGCCAGACTCCAGCTCTGGGCCTTCAAGATGGACTACGAGACAATCCAGAAGGTCTGTATCAACACGGGACAGTGCTGTTGTGATGAGATCACACTAAAACTGCTCTCATGGATCAATAAGCTCAGACAGAATCCTTCCTAAAGCATTATAAAGTATTAGTCAAGTAGTAGTTTGTGTACAGTGTTCATTTTGAATTCTTAAAGGGATCCTCAACAGGCTTTGAATTATCAGCGAGCCATTATGTAGCAAAGCTGTCCTTGTATGATTTAATAAATATCAAATCTCAATAAACTCATAATAATCTAGTATGGGTTTATAGCATAGACTGTATATATAAAGTTTTATAGTCATTTAATTTGACCTTGACTGACGTGATACAAGTGCTTTCCAATGTATAACTATTTGATAAAAATAAAATATAGATACTTTTCATGTGTATGCAGAGAAGGAAAGGCCAAGCCAAACACATTTAAAATTAAAATAAGCACGTTTTTTTGGTTTAATTCAAGAAGAAACAGATACATATACAAAGCCAAACAAACTCAGCACTCTAAAGCTTTGATTAAATGTGCAGAGCGTGTGTGTGTGTGTGTGTGGTGATGTGTGTGTGTGTGTGTGTGTGTGTGTGTGTGTGTGTGGTGTGTGTGTGTGGTTGTGTGTGTGTGTGTGTGTGGTGTGTGTTGTGGTGTGTGTGTGTGTGTGTGTGTGTGTGGTGTGTGTGTGTGTGTGTGTGTGTGTGGTGTGTGTGTGTGTGTGGTGTGTGTGTGTGTGTGTCTTGTACCCGTGTCAGTGGGTATCAACATCCCTCTTAGTACAAAAAACATCCGCCAAAACATCATCATGGTTACATCATAACAAAATATGCACGCTTATTAGCGGCACCTCGTCTAATCTTCCTCTGGAACGCATCCAGGAGGAGAAGTTCAAAGGGAAAAGCCAGAGAATGAAAAACACACCACTGTCCTGCGCATTTTAGGGCTTTCCGCAGGACGCAGTTGTCTTTAATCTCCATGAAAAGCATCATTCCTGAGCGCGCTCTCGGTAGAACGGCGTTCCCGACTCTTCTCTGTGGGACGGATTGTTAGCGGGAGGTTTAATGGAGGGCAACGTACCGTGCAGGCACACAAAAACACACGCACATAAAAGCAACCTGCTGCTCAAAAACAAGATCTTCATATAATCAGAAGCACGTTTTGTAGTGAAGGGTGACCGCGATAGCAACCGGTTCATGACCTCAAACAAGCACCTGTTCAACCACTTTTATCACTGTAGACTCAAGAAACACATGTCTTAATTGACCCCACTAATGATGTGCGTGTTTATGTGTGTGTTTGCCTTCTCTCAGGAAGTAGCAGAGCCGCTGCAGGATCTGAAGGAAGGTATGGAACAGCTGGAGAAGAACAACACTCTCCGATACATCCTGGCCACTCTGCTCTCCATGGGGAACTTCCTCAACGGCACCAATGTGAGTCACCATCATTACTGGTTCATCACACTGGGACATTATTACAAGCTTCTTTTGTCTGCAGCAGTAGTTTGTAGTAATTGTGGAGATGCTCAGTGATTTTAAGTGTAGATATTCTAAGCCTGTCATTTGTAGATTCAAAATGACATCCTATAGCTACTATAATTCACAGTGAGAACTAGGGCTGTGCAATTAATCGTATTTTAATCGCAATTACGATTTTGGCTAGCCACAATTACGAAAAAAACGATTATTTTGCTTTGCTAATGCTTAATTGATTTTCTGAGAGCAACGACATAGATCCAGTTAGATAGATCCAATTAATTTTAGTCTAATTTGTTTTTATTTACCATATTTATATATGTTTAGTAGCTTGTGGAAGTGCGCTCCAAAATATTTGTTGATCTTGTTTATTGGTATTTATTATTTTGATATTATTTATTTAAATGTATCATTTATTTAATTTATATTTGCATTGGTTTTTCAGTTGAATTATACGTTCAGAGTAATCAACAGTTAAAAACATACTGTTCAAATAATTATTTGTTTTAAAGTTCAATAAATGGATATTTTCAAAGTCAATGAATAATCATATCTAATAATCGTGATATCAATTATTGACCAAAATAATCGTGATTATGATTTTTGCCATAATCGAGCAGCCCTAGTGAGAACACAGTGTACCTTTATATCAGTACTCCAGATGTATTCTTTACTCAGTTATGTTTCTTTGGCTTTGTGTCCAGGCTAAAGGCTTCGAGTTGACATATTTGGAGAAGGTTTCCGAGGTGAAGGACACAGTTCATAAGCAGTCTCTGCTGCATCACGCCTGCTCCGTGGTGGTGGAGAACTTCCCTCAGAGCACCGACCTGTACTCTGAGATCGGGGCCATCACACGATCTGCAAAAGTACGCTCAGCTCTCACTAAAGGAAATCTTGTATTAAGACTATTTTGCATCCCTGCACTGTAAAAGCTTTTCAATTTGGTTCAATTTAAAAGCATTTAACTTCCTTTGCTGCCTTAAAATGTGAGTCTAAACTCTAAACTTCAAAGTCTTCTCACTAGTTCTTGCTTCAAACAAGCCATTTTAAGTACGACAACATTCCAAAAAAGTCAACAAAACTTCTAATAATCAGTAAATGTCTATGCAAAAACGTTACGTCTGATTCACCTCCACATCTGTCCCGCCAGGTGGATTTCGACCAGCTGCAGGAGAACCTGTGTCAGATGGAGCGGCGCTGCAAAGCCTCATGGGACCACCTGAAGGTGATCGCCAAGCACGAGATGAAACCTCAGCTGAAGCAGAAGATGTCTGACTTCCTCAAAGACTGCGCTGAGAGGATCATCATCCTCAAGATAGTCCACCGCAGGATCATCAACAGGTACCTCTCCTCCTCCATTCAACAAGACACAACCTTTACATATGATACTGACTGAGTCACCGTTTCATTGATTACAAAATTCCGAAATAAAAAGCTTATTGATATGCTACTGTTACTTAAAGAGCCTGTGACAGCCTCCCAACAACTATTGTGCAATGAAATATTGGGCTACTAGTAATCTCGAACCGTCAGTTTAAAAAAAAAAAGCGATACCGTTCCGTTAAATATCAATAATTTCGAACATCGCGGGGAAATTCCTTCGACTCATTTTGAAGTTTTGGGGGAAGCCGGAAGTGACGTCAATGCGGGAACGCTTCACTGTGCGGCGAGAGAGCCAAACACGGACAAAGTGTGTTGTCATGCGTAGAAATAGTGAATTACTGAGTTTAGGCACGTTAATAACGTTTTAATGAAGTTGACTACGGTATATTCATATTTGTCAGTGCTTTCATGTCAATTCGGCGAACATAAACATAAATGATCGTGGTGAAGATGATGATTACATTAGGATTAAAAATCGGTAGTGACAGCTGCTGAATTTCCTCCCGTAGGATATGATATAAAAACAAATCGATTATTTTTGTAGTTGTAAACTCAAGTGGATGAAACTACATTTATTAGTGCTTTCATGTCAATTCGGCGAACATATGATAGATTAAATGATTGTGAGAATGATGATTAAAAATCGTTTGTTTGAGCCGGTCGGCATTTCCTGATGAGAAAACAAACCGATGCTTTTTGTAGTAGTACACCAACATGGATTAAACGTGTGTTTTTTTCACCACAATGTTGGGGAAATTAATGGATAAAATGCACGGATTATTATTATTATTATTCCCACTCCGATCGGGACACTAGGTCCACCGTTTCCCCGCAGCGAGGCTCCCCCGTTGACAGTTTACGTGGGCTGGGTGCAGTGGCGGACTGGCCATCGAGACGAATCCCGATGGGCCGGTACCGAAGTGGGCCGGTCGGATAAGTCACTAGCACATCCCCCATAGGCGGCGCGTGAGGCCCAGGTTTGGGAAGGCTAAATAACTTTTTTTACGCCTCCGGCGTCTATAGAAAGGAGATCAACTCTGTGCGGAGTTTACATCTCTCAAGTCATATTACAGGATAAAGGAAATACAGTTTAAACTGCCGTATGCAGAGAAGACGCCGACGTGTCGCACTTATCATTCATATTACATCATCAATCAGATCATCGATCATATAATATCATAATATATCATATATTTCCTTATCTGCCGTGTCTGGCCGTGCAACACTTACAGTGTCACATACTGTATGCAGAAGTATTATTTTAAGCAACACATTATGTTGACGAAACACTCGAGTCAAATGTAATTAAAGTCAGATCCACTCGTGTCTTAGACGTGAACGCGCTCTCAGCTGGAGAGAGAAACCCTGGCTTGATTTACCGAGTTGATAACCAGCGTCGTAGGACCGCTTAGCGAGATCTCGTTTGTTAGTTTGTTGTTGTTAGTTTGTTTGTTACTCAAACATATCCAGGGTCTGTTGAACTGGCTTCGTAGTACAGGGCACAGGTGGCTAGCAGCGCTAATGTCAAAGACACAGACATTGCATTATATTTGTATTTTACGAGGATGCAGTGAAACAAATATTTACATATTTACATTTACTATCTACAGCACCCGCCGCCCCTGACATCCCCCACTCCCCCCGTTGATAATTTACTAGCGGTACCGAAGTGGGCCGGTCGAGAGTCCCGGGATGATTTTTAGTCCCATTCCACCACTGGCTACATGACCGTATGATCGCCCATATTGACGCACCTAATTCCTAAACTTCTAACAGATACAACATAAAGCGATCCTTCAGACTCATATGAGCTCTCAGACACGTTCAACATTAAACTGTCATCGCTGTCTGAGCTTGCTGCTGTGTGCACCATCGTGCGTTTACATGCAGATGCTGGGATCCTGAACGGTGCAGCTGGAGCGCTGTGCCCGCAATGACGTCACACGTAATTTGGCGGGACTTGAAGAATCCCCGAGAAGATCCAGAAAATGGTCAACATTGAAGGGCAGATTAATGGTTATCAAAGTACAAATATCCAAAATCAGTTCAGTAACGGTTTTCAAGGGGACAATATTTACTCAAATTGATGGGTTTGGATGATGGGGGAAACTCGTGTCACAGGCTCTTTAAAGACGAGGATCACAGGAGTGTTTAGTGGAGCTAAAAGGATCCTCTTACACACAATACAACTAAAACTATACAAAACCCCACTAGAGGCACTTACAATGTCCACAAAGACACATGAAACATCCATAAAGAGACTCAAAATGACTACAAAGAGACACAAGATAACTAAAACTAGACAAAAAACACTTATAATGTCCACAAAGACACATAAACCCACCTTAAAAAAGACTCAAAATGAACACAAGGAGACACAAAATGACTAAAGAAACAACTTCAAACTTGGAAAAATGAACTGTAATTAGAGTGTCACATTTTGGTGTACAGTAAAACTGAAAATAGATATTTAAAATATCTAAATAAATGTCATTACACCGAGAGAAGTACAAGGACTTTGAATAAAATGTGATGTTCTCCTTCTGGCAGGTTCCACTCCTTCCTGTTGTTCCTCGGCCACCCGGCCTACAGTGTGAGGGAGATCAGCGTCCACAGGTTCAGTAAAATCCTCAGTGAGTTTGCGCTGGAGTACCGGACCACCCGAGACCGCGTGCTGCAGCAGAAACAGAAACGGGCCGACCACCGAGAACGCAACAAGACCCGAGGGAAGATGATCATGGACGTCAACGCTCCTGTGAGCATCACACACACACACACACACACACACACACACACACACACACACACACACACACACACACACACACACACACACACACACACACACACACACACACACACACACACACACACACACACACAAACACACAGAATCCTTTACCCACACTCCGACTTTCAAATCTTTTTACTTTTCCCTTTTTTTCCTTAAAGGTCACCTATCATGCTATTTTTAGGCAATAGCATGGGTCTCAGATATATAAATATATATAAAAAACATGTCTATGAAGTGTTTTGCTCAAAACACCAAACAGATCACCCATTCTAGCCATGCCTCATATCCCTCTATTTCACTTCCTGTTTCAAAAGTGCTGATTTGGGGTATAAAGCTTAAAAAAAATTGATAACAAAAATAAAAAGGAGGGGTCTGAGCTCATGCGGGACCCGGCAGCTACTGTCTAAACTAAATACTGCGGTGATGAAACGCCATATCATGGATTATCAAGGATTATTTCTGAAACAGTATGGAGCTCAAAGGCTTTCTCTCTTGCCGGTTATACCACAAGGTGAGTTCCTTTTTACTTCCTGCTTCTTCACACACATGCTCTCCAGTACAGGTTAGCTCTGAGTGTTAGCGATGCTAATGTAAAAATGCACTGACCATATTACGTCCAGAACAGTCGGGCATTGTTTCTGATAGCAACTTTCTGATAGTGCCGTGGGTCCACATTTCAGATATTACGTCATATCGGACGCAAATCTGGATCAGCTCCGTTGTATCCCCGTTTCTAGAGATTTGGGTACGGAGGAAAAGAGAGAGGGTTTTATTTTCTGACGCTGCGTGAGTTTCCCGAAACACCTGAGACATATTTATGTATAAAAGACATCAAAAAGTGCCGTTTGCATGATAGGTCCCCTTTAATCTAAAGCTGCCTTATTCTTCATTTTCTTTGACTTTCACTCCTTTCTTTCCCCTGTAGTCTGATGATGAAGAGGAGAGTGAGGTATCCACATAAGTGCTGACTGCCTGCATGTGTGTGTGTGTGTGTGTGTGTGTGTGTGTGTGTGTGTGTGTGTGTGTGTGTGTGTGTGTGTGTGTGTGTGTGTGTGTGTGTGCGTACGTGCGTGCGTGCGTACGTGCGTGCGTGCGTGCGTACGTGCGTGCGTGCGTACGTGCGTGTGTGTATGTGCGTGCGTGTAACCACTAACCTTTTCTAGACTTCTCCAGGATGGTGACAGGTTGGATGTGTAACCGTTTATTATTATTATTAGGTTTTTAATTGAAAAAGAGGAAAGAAAAGCGATGATTTATGCCAGATTTAGCTTTTAGTTCATTTCTCTCTGCAGTCCGTTGACAGGTACACACACAACAATCAACATACATTAAATACATGACATCTTATCTATCGCACTAATAATAATAATAAGGACGGATTGGAGCATGGATCAACATATCAGCACCTTTATAAGTACAACCATACAATTACAATTCATTTCAATTCAAGAACCGTCAAAGGAAGACTAGTTACTGAATATTCATTGTTGCTGAATGGGTCTGTGCACCTTGATTTTCAGTCTTGGCTTGTTTGAGTCAAATAGTAAATACAAGCTGCTGATTTGTTATTCTCTTGTATTCTGTCTCTCCCCCCCAGTGTGCACGGTATGGCTCCAGCAGCAGCACCACCAGCGCCCCCAGTGGCAGTCAGGAGTGTGAGCAGCCTCAGGGTCTGGGCCACACTGAGGATGCTGCAGAGCACGAGCACATGAAGACCATGCTGAGGACCACCCTCAGCGGGGGGGACAAGGAGGCCAGTGCCGTGCCGGGGCTGCGCACACGGACGAGATCCCGGCCCGGAAGAGGAGGTACGACGATGATGATATAATGTATATCAGGGCTGTCCAAACTTTTTTCACTGAGGGCCACATACAGAAAAATATACGAAGGGCTGGGCCGCTCACTAGAGGTGAGGTGTATCCGTTCAGTTATAAGTGAGCTAAATCAATCAAATGTAGGTAAATAATGCTTGATACTTGAAAATGAAACAGCTACATCACAGCTCTCCATAGGGTTTCATTTATTTATTTTGTTGGCAGCTCATTCCTTAAAACAGAAGCTTCAGATTGCTTATACAAAGAGGAAATATGAAGGGTATATTTCAAGCTTGTTATGTAATTAAGTTATTGGACTTTTATCAACTAAGATTTGTTTGAGAATGTTTCCGACTTGAATTGATTGAATTTATTTGAAAAGTGGGCCTTTTAACACATATATATATACTGGGTAATATATGTTTACATATATATTTAAGAAGTACAATATATGACAAGCACAAGTTTATTTTTGTGGGCCATATTTCATTATACTTTTGGAATTAGCTGAGGACCGTTTCTAAATGGGCTGCGGGTCGCATTTGACCCCCGGGCCGTAGTTTGGACACCACAGATGTATATGAATGAATATGGGATGAATAAAGGATTTCTGATTCTCAATACAGGAAGTTCCTGATATGATCACACCAAGGAGGCCAAAGTCAAACCAGAGTCACTAAATCGGTCTTGTTTTTTTAAACCTTGATCAACATTCTCAATTTTTTTCAGGTCGCATTATGCCTTCAAGGACTCCGCCTGTGGAGGACACTCCGATCGGTGGAGACGACGACGCAGATGCAGACGAGATCATGGAGCGGATAGTGAGGTCGGCCACGCAGGGTCCAGCCCAGCCCAGAGAGAGGAGGAGGTCCAGAGCCAACCGCAAGTCCTGTAAGACCTGAACCTCTGTCCATAAACTGAACCAGATACTCATCCTCAACAGGGCTAGCATCGGTGATCACACGGAAAGCTGCTTTCATATAATGCTAGAATACAATCGGTTGATCACTTTTACAATGAAGTTTTGTTAAGGAGTTACAGTTGCATCATGTCTTTTAAACAGTAACATTAAAGCATGGAAACATGTCGCAGTAGAGACACAAAATACAAATACGAAACCGGATCTCACCTTGTCTGATTTAGTGTTGTGCCGTTAGTAAGTCATTGTTTTACTATCTCATTATGATATGGTTAATCCAGCAACCAAGTAATGTTTTCTTATACAGTTGGCATACTTGTTGTTGAGGGTTTAAAAACAGAAAGATCAAAGGTGATGCAGAGATATGGTGTGGCACAGTATGGGTGAAGCTCCAAACACACTTGACTCTGAATTTACCACAATGCAATCAGATGCATTCAAACATTGTCTATATCACCGGGAAACATGAACGCTGCGACGTAATTAGCAATTGTATACATGCTGTTGTCGTTATAAACATAATCATAGATCATGTATTTTGTCTCTCCTCACAGTGAGGCGCACTCTGAAGAACGGTCTGACCCCAGAGGAAGCTCTCGCTTTAGGACTTAGCGATTCTCCAGATGGATAAATGGGATCTTCCCGCCGCCTGTCGTCATTTCCGTGGAAACACCGTGACAATCATTCAAATCGACATCTCTGTCCGCCGCCTGCCTTCGCCTCACTTTACAGAGTTGTATTCCACCAGTCACAGACCCCTGTTTTTGCCAGCTGCTAATGTTGCCTGATGTGTCTGAGTGATGAAGCTGCAGCCGTGATAGCGCTTAGTTTTTTAATGCAACCGATGTATTTAACTTGACAAGGAAAAGGACATTTCAATTCAGTGCCGCTGCGTCTACACTGAATGGAAAAATGTTCGCGTTAGTCCTAAGGGAAACGTTTTGCTTGTGAGTTTTTGCATCTGTGACGTCACTATTTTTCATTTATTTAAGCTGTGAATTTCAGTTGTTTCGGATGACAAAGTTTGATTTGCTCTCTAATCCAGTTTCAAAGAATCCCAGGAGATCCTCAAACAAAGAGGCGAATGCTTCTGCAGCTGCACGTTTGTGTTGAGTAAGAATGAGAACGGTTTTCTATCCGATGTGATGTGCCTTTCATTTAAAAGGGACGGTACTGTGCTTTTAGCCATCCCTCCCTCTTGTTACAGTCACCTCCTATTTCTCAGATAACTCACAAATATCACATTCACAGGTGCGGTTATATCGAGTACAACTGTTCGTTACATTTCACTTTTTTATTTTGGCAAAATATTTATTTGCAAAGCTCGGACATCTTGCACTTTACTCGACATTATACGTTTCTAGTGCTGAAATGAATGACTCGTACAAAACAGACAAAGGAAGTATTTATCTCAGAGGAACTGTTTGTAAAGTGTAAAAAGACAAAAAGATAAAGACCTTTTTAAAATTGTAATCTATTTTAGAAAATGTGTAAATGCCCTTTTCAGCTGCCAGGTACTGAGTACTGTAGATTACAGTGTGCATGATTAGTGCGGTTCATTTGATGTAATATTTTTGTAATTTCTGTAGAAACTTGTATTATAGTCTGAGAGAAAAGAGGCTATTCTGTGAATTAATAAATGAAAGATGTGGTCAAAGCTGAACTATGTTTTCAAGGAGATGCTGAGAGGAGAGCAGGGTTCAGCATTCACTCTGAACTCTGTGCATTGTACTTTATATTAACTTGAAAAGTTTTTGGATAATAATAAAACGTCTCAGCTGAACCATCTGCTCCTCTCATGGTACAACGGAAAACACAGGGAAACATCGCTGCATAGATATAATGTGGTGAGCTGAACATGAAACCATGGTTACACTTTCACTTGAAATGCTGTGTATAAACACTCTGCAATAAAATACGAAAAACATTGAGTGAAAAAAATATCCAAGTGTCGTTCTTCTATGCTTTCACTTCTGGAGCACACACTTAAAACATGTAAATAAAATCCCTGAGACAGCACAATTTACACTGAACAAAAATATAAATGCAACACTTTTGTTTTTGCTCCCATTTTTCATGAGATGAACTCAAAGATCTAAAACATTTTCTATATACACAAAATAACCATTTATCTCAAATATTGTTCACAAATCTGAAAAGATCTGTGATAGTGAGCACTTCTCCTTTTCCGAGATAATCCATCCCACCTCACAGGTGTGGCATATCAAGATGCTGATTAGACAGCATGATTATTACACAGGTGTATTTACACAATAAAAGGCCACTCTGAAACGTGCATTTTGCTTTATTGGGGGGGTCCGAAAACCAGTCAGTATCTGGTGTGACCACCATTTGCCTCACGCAGTGCAACACATCTCCTTCGCATAGAGTTGATCAGGTTGTTGATTGTGGCCTGTGGAATGTTGGTCCACTCCTCTTCAATGTTGGTGCAAAGTTGCTGGATATTGGCAGGAACTGGAACACGCTGTCGTATAAGCCGATCCAGAGCATCCCAAACATGCTCAATGGGTGACATGTCCGGTGAGTATGCTGGCCATGCAAGAACTGGGATGTTTTCAGCCTCCAGGAATTGTGTACAGATCCTTGCAACATGGGGCCGTGCATTATCATGCTGCAACATGAGGTGATGGTCGTGGATGAATGGCACAACAATGGGCCTCAGGATCTCGTCACGGTATCTCTGTGCATTCTCAATGCCATCAATAAAATGCACCTGTGTTCGTCATCCATAACATACGCCTGCCCATACCATAACCCCACCACCACCATGGGCCACTCGATTCACAACATTGACATCAGAAAACCGCTCACCCACACGACGCCACACACGCTGTCTGCCATCTGCCCTGAACAGTGAAAACCGGGATTCATCCGTGAAGAGAACACCTCTCCAACGTGCCAGACGCCATCGAATGTGAGCATTTGCCCACTCAAGTGGGCAAATGCTCACAACAGTCGAGTCAGGTCGAGACCCCGATGAGGAAGACGAGCATGCAGATGAGCTTCCCTGAGACGGTTTCTGACAGTTTGTGCAGACATTCTTTGGTTATGTAAACCGATTGTTGCAGCAGCTGTCCGAGTGGCTGGTCTCAGACGATCTTGGAGGTGAACATTCTGGATGTGGAGGTCCTGGGCTGGTGTGGTTACACATGGTCTGCGGTTGTGAGGCCGGTTGGATACTGCCAAATTCTCTGAAACGCCTTTGGAGACGGCTTATGGTAGAGAAATGAACATTCAATTCACGGGCAACAGCTCTGGTGGTCAGCATGCCAATTGCACGCTCCCTCAAAACTTGCGACATCTGTGGCATTGTGCTGTGTGATAAACCTGAACATTTCAGAGTGGCCTTTTATTGTGGCCAGCCTAAGGCACACCTGTGCAATAATCATGCTGTCTAATCAGCATCTTGATATGCCACACCTGTGAGGTGGGATGGATTATCTCGGCAAAGGAGAAGTGCTCACTATCTCAGATTTGTGAACAATATTTGAGAGAAATGGTTATTTTGTGTATATAGAAAATGTTTCAGATCTTTGAGTTCATCTCATGAAAAATGGGAGCAAAAACAAAAGTGTTGCATTTATATTTTTGTTCAGTGTATTTCACTCTGTAACTCTGCATGTCTGCACTTTGCACATGCTGCTGAGAGCATGCAGCCTTTTAATTTGGCTGCATGTATGTGTGATTTCCATATCTATGCAAGAGTAAAGCTCTTTGAGGCAATAACTTGACATGTGCTGTAAGATACTGTGCCAAGTTTGGGGTATGTATAAACTCCAGTTCCAAGACTTTTAGCAGTAGTTTCAATTAACTGGAAACCAAATTGTGTTTTTCCAACTGAATAAGTTAAATACAGTATACAGTGTTGAAAGCTGAACACACACATTTAAAAGTAAAGAAAGACAAAGAATTTGAATTTTATACTTGAATTGTATTTCAAAATTGTACAAAAAGATCTAAAAAGTTGCAGAAGGAAAAACTCCACAAAACCCTTTAACAGGAAAAAAGTGGAGAAACCTCAGCCAACCGAGACGTCTCCAGAACGCATCGAGGTCCAGCTAAGATAGGAATAAGATCTGGAAAATAGTGAGAGAAAGGGCAAATATAGGATAGAAAGAAAACAGAGACATGAACCAACAAACGTGACATTTCACTTTACTTTTGCAAAACAAAAAAACACTTTGACATGTTGACCACCTGAGACACATCCGCCAACCATTTCTGTTTTCTTAGTTACCGACCTGTTGGAGAATAAGTCATAGAAACAGGGAAAAACAGAGCTTATTCTCCAATACTTATCATACTGTGTTAACGTCCGTGTGAGAGGAAATGGTCATTGTGAGTCTTCTGGGTCTTCTTCCACATTACATGTCATTTAACTGACGCTTTTATCCAAAGCGACTTACATACACTTCGATACCGTAGACATGCCTACGGGAGCGATTTGTGCTAAAGTGTCTTGCTCAAGGACACATCGGCATGTGGCCCAAAGTCACATCCGCATAGGACTTTCTGTTTCTTAATGGCTTACCTGGTAGAGAATAGGTAAAGAAACAGAAGAAAACAAACCCTATTCTCCAATACTTACTTTGTGCAAACGTCGGCACATGATAAATTCCCTTTCTCACATTTTGTGAATAGAGATGGTCACATCTCAAGAATGCAACATCCACCAAGGATTTCTGTTTTCTGAATCAACTATCTGCCAGAGAATAGGTAAAGAATCAGAAGAAAACTAAAATGTATTACATTACAAACACTTCAATACCGTAGACATGACTACGGGAGCGATTTGTGTTAAAGTGTCTTGCTCAAGGACACACCGGCATGTGACCCAAAGTCACATCCGCATAGGACTTTCTGTTTTCTTAATGGCTTACCTGGTAGAGAATAGGTAAAGAAACAGAAGAAAACAAACCCTATTCTCCAATGCTTACTTTGTGCAAACGTTGGCACATGATAAATACCCTTTCTCATATTTTGTGAGTAAAGATGGTCATGTCTCAAGAAGGCAACATCCGCCAATGATTTCTGTTTTCTTAATGCCAGAGAATAGGTAAAGAAACAGAAGAAAACTCAAATATATATATTACATTACAAACACTTCAATACCGTAGACATGACTGCGGAGCGATTTGTGCTAAGGTGTCTTGCTCAAGGACACATCGGCATGTGACCAAAGTAACATGCATATAGGACTTTCTGTTTTCTTAATGGCTTACCTGGTAGAGAATAGTTAAAGAAACACAAGAAAACTCAAATATATATATTACATTACAAACACTTCAATACCATAGACATGCCTACGGGAGCGATTTGTGCTAAATTGTCTTGCTCAAGGACACATCGGCATGTGACCCAAAGTAACATGCATATAGGACTTTCTGTTTTCTTAATGGCTTACCTGGTAGAGAATAGGTAAAGAAACAGAAGAAAACAAACCCTATTCTCCAATACTTACTTTGTGCAAAGGTCGGCAAATGACAAATTCCCTGTCTCACATTTTGTGAGCAGAGATGAACATTTGAAACATATTAATTTACAAACACTTCAATACCGTAGACATGCCTATGGGAGCGATTTGTGTTAAAGTGTCTTGCTCAAGGACACATCGGCATGTGAGCCAAAGTCACATCCGCATAGGACTTTCTGTTTTCTTAATGGCTTACCTGGTAGAGAATAGGTAAAGAAACACAAGAAAACTCAAATATATATATTACATTACAAACACTTCAATACCGTAGACATGACTACGGGAGCGATTTGTGTTAAAGTGTCTTGCTCAAGGACACATCGGCATGTGACCCAAAGTCACATCCGCATAAGACTTTCTGTTTTCTTAATGGCTTACCTGGTAGAGAATAGGTAAAGAAACAGTCGAAAACAAACCCTATTCTCCAATACTTACTTTATGCAAACGTTGGCACATGATAAATTCCCTGTCTCACATTTTGTGAGTTGATTTGAACATTTGAAACATATTAATGTACAAACACTTCAATACCGTAGACATGCCTACGGGAGCGATTTGTGCTAAATTGTCTTGCTCAAGGACACATCGGCATGTGACCCAAAGTAACATGCGTATAGGACTTTCTGTTTTCTTAATGGCTTACCTGGTAGAGAATAGGTAAAGAAACAGAAGAAAACAAACCCTATTCTCCAATACTTACTTTGTGCAAACGTTGGCACATGATAAATTCCCTCTCACATTTTGTGAGTAGAGATGGTCACGTCTCAAGAAGGCAACATCCGCCAATGATTTCTGTTTTCCTAATGAACTATCTGCCAGAGCATAGGTAAAGAAACGGAAGAAAACTAAAATATATATATTACATTACAAACACTTCAATACCGTAGACATGACTGCGGAGCGATTTGTGCTAATGTGTCTTGCTCAAGGACACATCGGCATGTGACCCAAAGTCCTATGCGGATGTGACCCAAAGTCACATCCGTATAGGACTTACTGTTTTCTTAATGCCTTACCTGGTAGAGAATAGGTAAAGAAACAGTAGAAAACAAACCCTATTCTCCAATACTTACTTTGTGCAAGAGTCGGCACATGATAAATTCCCTGTCTCACATTTTGTGAGTAGATTTGAACATTTGAAACATATTAATGTACAAACACTTCAATACCGTAGACATGCCTACGGGAGCGATTTGTGCTAAATTGTCTTGCTCAAGGACACATCGGCATGTGAGCCAAAGTCACATCCGCATAGGACTTTCTGTTTTCTTAATGGCTTACCTGGTAGAGAATAGGTAAAGAAACAGAAGAAAACAAACCCTATTCTCCAATACTTACTTTGTGCAAACGTTGGGACATGATAAATTCCCTTTCTCACATTTTGTGAGCAGAGATGAACATTTGAAACATATTAATGTACAAACACTTCAATACCGTAGACAATTCTAT